CCTGCACAGTATGAGAAAATCAGCAAAAGTGGAAGTAACGTTCTTGTCACATAAGTGCCTGGCAAGGACCATCTTCCAAGAATCTGAGTATCAGTCCTTGTCATTCAATGGCATTACCATTGTTGAATTCTCTATCAGTTTCCTCGGGGTTACCATGGACCAGAAACTGAATGGGACAGACCATACAAATATAGTTGCGACAAGATCAGGACAGAGGCTAGAAATCTTGCAGCAAGCAACTCATCTCCTGACTGCCCAAAGTCTGTCCACCATTTACAAGACAGAAATCAGGTGTATATGAATAATCTCCACTTGTCTGGATGAGTGCTGCTTCAATAATGCTCAAGAAGCTTGACACCATCTGGGACAAAACAGCATTTTTGATTGCCCACTGCCTTCAACATTCACTTTTTTTCAAGATTGATGCACAGTAGCAGTAAAGTGTATCATCTCTCTTGTCTGACCTGCCTCTAGATAGGGAGCTGGTGGTGTCCCCCAGTCAGCTAGGTACCTCCCACCACAAGTTGGCACCTTCGGGTACATGATGTCTCATAGATACTGGGATCAACAACCTGGTTTAGTCAGGAATGTTCCTTTTGCTTTTGTGATGGGTTTTTATGTTCTAGTATGATTGGATCAGATGTTTGGGAGGGGATGTGCAACTGGGGAAAAATGTTTCTCAGGAACAGGATTCATTTGTTCCAAGACAATTTGTATAGACTGTGATGATATTTGCAAAGTGTTTCACAGAGTAATTTCAAGGAAGAATGTGAAGATGGGAGAGTCAAATCAAACATGATATCAAGATCCAACAGAGTCACTCAATTCATCAGGACCTGAAGGAAAAAAAAAGTTTGTCTGCTTCGTCTGTGGGAAAAGATTTCAAACATCAGTGTGACTGGTAAATCGCCAACACACACACACATACTCACAAACGTTCCAGTGAATTGACTGCAAAAATTTCTTAACAATATCCAGTTAACATTCTGAAAGAAAAAATATCCACAGTGCAGAGATACTGTACACACTTTGTATGTATGGTCAAGGACTCAACAGATCATCCAACTGGAAGAGATGCCAGGAGATCAGGACTGTGGAAAAACCATGGAAATGTATGATTGTGTGAAGGGATACAAATACCTAGGCCAGCTGTAAGCTCATGGATGCAGTCACTCTGGAGAGGGACTGTTCACCTGCTCCATGTGTGGTAAGGGATATGCTCAGTAATCCAGCTTTGTCTCACACCAGTGGGTTCATACTAAGAAGAGACCTTTTAAATACTCTGATGGTGGGAAAAGCTTTAAGAGCTCTAAAGGTCTAATTCAATATCAACTTGTTCACACGAGGGAGAACTCATTCACCTGTTCCACGTGTGGGAAGGAATTCTTTTGGAAGTCCATCCTGATGTCACATGAACGTCTTCACCACAGGGAGAGAACCTTTGTCTGCTCCATGTGTGGAAAGGGATACACTTCATGGTCCCAGTACAATGTCACGCAATCAGATTCACACTGGAGAGAGATCTTTCATCTTTTCTATGTGTTGGGGGGGATTCACTTCATCGTCCATCCTAATGTCATCCTCCCCTGAGGAAGAGTCGCCAGACCCAAAACATTAACTGTGATTTTTCTTCGCAGATGTTGCCAGACCTGCTGAGCTTTTCCAGCAACTTCTGTTTTTGTTCCTAATGTCAAACAGTTGAGTTCCCACCGGTGTGGTACCATTTGTCTGATCTCAGTGTGAGAAGATGTTCAGGCACTTATCCAGCCTCACTGAACATCTCCGTATTCACACTAGGGAGAGGCTGCTGACCTGCTCTGTTTGTGGGAAAGTATTCACTCAGCCACATAAGCCAGTGTCACACCAACATGTTCACACTGGAGAGACAACATTTGTCTGCTCTTTGTGGGAACAGATTTATTAAATCATCGGATATTCTTAGACGCCAGGGTAGTCACAATGGAGAGAGACCATTCATCTGCTCTGTATGTGGGAAGGGATTCACTTGGTCCTCCAAACTCAGGAAACATGGGATTAATCACACCAATGAGAGACCACTTAAATGCTCAGACTATGAGAAGGGCCTTAGAAGCAGCAATGACTTGATGAAACACCAGCAAACTCATTGTGGGGAGAGGCCTTTCACCTACCCTGTGTGTGGCAAGGGATTCAATGATGCATCCACACGTCTGAGACACCAGCGAGGTCATGTGATTGTATTCTGCTGTTACTGGAGGGAAGACTGAACCATGTTCAATCTGACAGCTGAGGTTTACGTCAATGGATGTGAATAATCTGTTTAACCAGGCTGGTGTTCAATTATCCATGTAACAATCATATCGGATACACAGTGTTTGTGTTCCAGATTTCTCATGATTAGAGGAAACTGATAGATGTCCTGTTACTGAACTGTTCTTGGGTGGCTCCTTCATTGTCAGTGCAAGGCTCATATTTAGAAAATGACTTTCACTCATTCAGGATGTCCTAATGTGCTTCAAGCAACTGAAGTCCTTGTAAAGTGTAGTCACTGTTGTAAGAGATACAGCAGCTGAATTGTGTGCAACAGATTTCCACAAACAGAAATAAGATGCTGGAAATATTCAGCAAGTGAGACAGCATCTGTGGGGACAGAAATAGAGTTCACAACAGAAACATGACTATGAAAGACACTCTGTTCAGTGATGATCATTGAGGGATGTACATTTAGTAGTAAATCTGACAGACCTGCTCTGTTCTTTGAAATAACTTCATGAGATCTTTTATATCTACCTGTGAGGGAAGATGTGGCTGCAGTTAAAGGTTCCCTCTGAAAGACTGGATCTCTGACAGCGCAGTGCTCCCTCAGTCCTGCATCAGAATATCAGCCGTGATTTTATGGTGAAGACTCTGGATGAGAATTTGAATTCACAACACTCCTGACACAGAGTTGAGAATGTAACTACTGAACATTAATACCACGGCATTATTTCAGATAATTTCAGATCATTTCAGATCTGACACTTTTGAATCATAGAAATGTTGTGGTGCAGGCGGCCATTTGACCCATCACATCAGCACTGGTTCTCAGCATTATTCCAGCTCTTATACTTTTAGTTGTTCTCACAGACATGTTCACCCACTGGGCTCTTGGTCAAAGCCAAGTGGATTGTACGTGTATGTTTTTAAACAGGTAATGATGGCTTCCAGAGCAACACACTAGCAGATTCTGCAGCATGATTTATAGATTTTTGAAAAATCAATTCATTAACATATCAACAGACATGAGACAACACAACATGAATGAAAAATTTTGACTTTCAAAGACTCTGTCTTAATCATTCAGACCATTTGTTATCATTCAAGACAAAATGTTTGAGAACAAATGTGAAAGTTATCTCCAAATTGATAGCAAGCACTTCTGTCCATGATGTAAAGGCACATTTTAAAATCATCTAATGTGGGCATATTTGTTTCCGAAATGTAAAGCGATGTGAATTTCTACCTTAACCATTTGTAAGAAATGTCCCCTGACGTTTAAAAGGATAATCAAATTGAAAAAAACAGTTTACGTGATTTTTGTGTTTCAACCTTTATATCTTTCCTCTCTCACCTTAAACCAAAGACCCGTTTTCGGACTCCCCTACCCTTGGAAAATGACCTTGGCCATTCACCCTACCCATGTCCCTCATGATGTAATAAACCTCTATAAGGTCCCCCCTCAGCCTCCGACAATGAATGAACCTTCAAGATTTAATGAAATAAGGGAAGTCCAGGTATGTAAAAATAAAACTGAATTCATAACATTATATGGATATTTAGGATTGTATTTTTGTTAAACAATGTGAAACGTGGTGCCATGCTTCTTCTAATTACTTACTGAATGTTTGAATTTATCTTTAAACATTGGCAGTTTCTATCCGGATCATAAGATTCTTGCTCACTGGGGACAAAGTGACCAGGTTCGGTCAGTGAGAATCTCCACAGACAATGAGGCAGCAGAAGCCAGTCAGGTTCAGAAAGTGATGATCAGGTAAAGTATATATTTAAATTACAAAGGGCACGGCCTGATGAATCTGCTTTTGTTTGTCACAGGGAGCACATCAGAATAAAGATCTTTTGAAGTGCTTTAATGGGATGTCAGTGTCACTGGCGAAGCCAGTATTGGTTTTCCATCTCTGTTTATCCCTGAAAAGTGATAGTGCGTTAGTTCCTTGAAGTGCTGCAGTCTCTGAATCTTTGTGTCTGCTTTTCAACCGCTGGAACCCTCCTCTCCTGCAGGATAAATGTTGTTTTCCTCCTTAATTGGGGTATTCTTGCACATTGTCCTGATGCATGTAAGATGGACAAAATAAAATCCATCTTCTTTCAACATTTGTTTTTCAAATTGACTGAAATGATTTAAAATCTCTGCATCCCATTCCTTTAATGGAACTATTATGTATCCACCATGTTTTTTATTCCCCCAAATGGAAAGTCTGTATCATTCAGGACGAAGTGGCCGTCTTGCTCAGCACCCGTCCACCATCTTAAACATTCACTCCATCCACCACCAGCTTTCAATGGCTGCAGTGGCCTCTTACCATCTGAACTTGCTGGTGTGCCAGCAGGATGGCTGACTGACTCTCTTCGTACAGATAGAACAGACAGGCAGCCTTTATTTTGTATGTCTGCAGAGAGTGAGAGGAATGCTGACCATCTCCTCACACTTTAGTGACTCTTATCTAGAAATACAGCTCCTGCAGTCATTTCCTGAGCTGACCAAGGCAAAGACACTGTTATTGCTGCCAAGGACAAGTCTTGAGCACAACCACTGAAGCAAGACATGGCTAATCCTTTCAGGGGATGGAAGATGACCTCAGGAAACATACACAAAGCAACAAGCCGAGGTTTTTGTGGATCATTTCAATGGAAATGTGCACTCGAGGCTCAAGGAATATCAGCCCCATCTGAAGCAAGGTCAGAACAGCGGCTAGTCCAGCAGAATGAAACCCTCCATCTCTCAGCTCACTGTCAGAATGAGCAAGATTCAGTCCTGGACATGATTAGCAAAAGAAAGAGCAGCAGAATCCAATCCGTGTGATCCCTTGTGAACTCGCTGGTGTGTCTGCAGGATGGATAACAGAGTGAATCCCTTCCCACACATGCAGCAAACAAATGGCCTTTCCCCAGTGTGTACTCGCTGATGTGTCAGCAGGTAGGATGACCGAGTGAATCCCTTCCCACACTCGAAGCAGGTGAATGGTCTCTCCCCTAGGTGAACTCTCCGGTGTGTGAGCAGAGTGGATGAATCACTAAATCCCTTTCCACACTCAGAGCAGATAAAAGGCCTCTCCCCAGTGTGTACTCGCTGGTGCGTCCTCAGGTTGGATGACTTGGTGAATCTCTTCCCACACACACAGCAGGTGAATGGCCGCTCCCCGGTGTGAACTGGTTGGTGTGTCAGTAAGTGACATGACCGAGTGAATCCCTTCCCACATTCAGAGCAGATGAACGGCCTCTCCCCAGTGTGAACTCTCTCATGTGATTTCAGGTTGGATGACTTGGTGAATCCCTTCCCACAGTCGGAGCAGGTGAACGGTTTCTTCCCCGTGTGACTGAGGCGATGGGTTTCCAGCTCAGATGGGCACCGGAATCCCTTTGCACAATCTCCACATTTCCATGGTTTCTCCATGACAGCCAGTTCCAGCCTCTTGCATACAAACATGTGTACAGTCTTTCCCCACTGTAAATGTGCAATGATTTTTCAGTTTAAGCTGTTTCCATAATCATGGACGATTAAACTCATTTAGCTCTGTGTCTCGGTACTTTTCCATTTAACTTTAGAAGGACTCAATGGCTGATGATAGTCAGGTCCAAGTGAATTTCAAGATTCACATCTTGACTCGAAGTACAAGATTTCCAAGTACAAATGCTCACCCTCAGGATATCCTGGAAATGGAATTAACAAAATAATAGCTGTCAGTACAGGATGGAAATTTAAAACATTCTAATTTCTATGGACATTCTTTGTCCAAAAGCTGTAAAGCTCAATCCCACACATTCTCCCTCCTCTCTCACTCTGCTGTACTGAATAGACAATCTCTCAAGGTGATGATTATGCTGATTGACAGACCAATGCATGTTTCTTCCTGTCCTGGAAAGAAACCCGAATATCTTCATGCAGGCTGCTCAGCTCAAATATACATTTTCATAATTTGTGGATTAAAAATTGGTGTACTCTACAACCTTATTACAGATAAAACAGGGGAGTGAGGAGGACCTTTATTGAAAGATGAGGTCAAGACTAGCTTTCACTCCCTACAAATGTGGTGGAACCAGAAATGATTCAATATGAATTTGGGCGGGCACTTGAAGGATGTACTCGGATTGAGGTGGTAATGGGCTGATTGAATTGCTGAGTGGACTCTGGTGTTGCAATGTTTCTCTGGCTGGACATATAAGAATATAGCTACAGTATTATTGCAAGACCAGAAATAATAAATGACCGTAATTCAAGAACATTAAATGTCAAATGTGCACTGTGACAACACTAGACAAAATTTATCACATCTTACTTTATCATCCCTTTGAATTCTGCTTCTCTCCTGCTGAAACCACGCCTTCAATTATGAACATTAGGAATAAGGCTATCCTGTTAGCCAGAGAAATAAATATGTCGAGCTCAGGAGGCAAAGGATGTCAAAGATTTTGAGAGAGAGAGATAGATTTGAACTAACCTTTCCAGAATCTACCCCTCCTTGGATTCACATCCACTCATTTCAGCTGCAGATGAACAGTATTCACCCTCTTCCCAGGAGCAGAAAAGAAATGGAAAGGGGGAGATATTGCTTTACTTTCAGATAATGCACAGATGCAGAAGTTTCACTCTGAAGCTCATTGGACAACCTCCACATTGTGACTTCCACAAAGGAAGAGGTGGTGACTGTCTGACGCAGCCAAGAGGAATCTCTGTGCTTAGCACCAATGTAACTGTTCCAGGCAGCAAGCCAGGCCCATGGACATGGGAATCCTACCTCCACTCGAGCCAATGTTTCCAGGGCAACTGGCCACACTGTGCCTGTTCTGGATAGCAGGCCTAGACAGCACCTGTGCTGCCCTCCAGGTGGGGTTTTGGAGGAGGGGAGAACACTTTGCAAACTCTTATTTCTTTATTTCCTCCATGTCACACAGTTTGATTTCAAACACCAAAAGGTCTGTGAACCCCTTTTGCAGGATCTTATAAGGGGCAGGTTTCCCGGATTTGGTTAATAATTGGCAGCTCCCTGGTTTACAGCTTCTCCCTCCCTCAGGAACAGGTCCCAGGGGTAAACCACCCCCACCATCATCATCAGCATCATCAGGGTCTCTGGGTTAATCAGGACCTGAATATGTGGAGAGACGTTTCTCTGTTCTGTCTGCGGGAAAATAAAATGCAAACATCAGTGAGACTGGAAATGTACTATGACACACATAGCTGAGTGAGAGTGTTCCAGTGAATTGACTGCTGGAAGAACCTTAACCAGTTTACACTTCCCAGTTAGAGTGTTCCAATGAGCTGACTGGCCTGAGAAGAAATTGCAGCATACACATAAGCTCCAACTATAATGTTCAACTTGGAGAAATAGAAAGGGACCTACACAATGGAGAAACCCTGGAAACGTGGGGACTGCAGGATGGGATTCGAAATACCCATCCCCGGTTGGAAATCCATCGACACACGCACACTGGGGAGAAGCCATTCACCCATTCTACGTGTAGAAAGCAATTCAGTCAGACATCATCCCTCTTGTTACATCTGCAAATTCACACTGAGGAGAGGCCATTCAGCTGCACTCGTTGTGGAGAGAGTTTCAGGTCTTTATTGGACCTTAATCAACACCAGAGGGGTCATACTGGGGAGAGGCCATTCACTTGCTCCATGTGTGGGAAGGCTTTCTCAAAAGTTATCCAAAGGGTGATTCACCAGCAAATTCACTCTGAGGAGAAACCATTGAGCTGCACTCATTGTGGAAGGAGTTACAAGCATTTAAACAGCCTCGAGGACCATCGATGAGCTCACACTAGGGAAGGCCATTCACCTGCTCCATGTGTGGGAAGGAATTCACTCAGACATCCATTCGTTGAAAACATCAAACACTGGGGAGAGACCATTCACCTGCTTGTCCTTTGGAAAGAACTTCAGGCAGACATCTGCTCTCAGAGGCGATGAGAGAATTCACACTAGGAAGAAACCATTCACCTGCTCTGTGTGTTGGAAGGCATTCACTTATCATCGATTCTTAAGCCACACCAGCAAATTCACACTGAGGAGAAGCTATTCAGCTGCACTTCCTGTGGTAAATGTTTCAAGTACTCTTCAGCCCTCCCCACCCACCAGAGAGTTCACAGCAGAGAGAGACCTTTCACCTGCTCCCTGTGGGAGAAGGGGTCCACTTTGGTGGCACATCAGCGAGTTCATAAGAAACAACAGAGGGAGAACCCTGCTGCTCATCACATCCAGGATTGATAGTCTGGCAATATTAGTTTTTTTTGCCCTCTGCTGATTTCACCAACCCCCTTAAGAGACTGGAATTTAATCTTTTGGATATGTTGCTGATTCAGAGATCCAATGACTCTTTCTCAAAGTGTTTTCTGCAATTTTTCCACTTGATTGAAGAACTCACAACAGAAACACAATTTTAAGAAAATTGTCAATTTTACTTGAATCCTAAATTGATCTGTGGAGCAAAATCTACAATTCAGTATCTGAGAGGTTCCACTGATTAACATCTCCAAATGGAAAGGGCTGACTAATCCTTGCAGATAATTCTCACCAGCTTGCACTTTCTTCACAGTGGCACCTTCATTATCAAACTAAATTATCAAAGAACATGGAGCAGTATGGTAATATACTTAGAAGCACATCATCAATAGCAAAAGCTACAGCGAACATTGATGAATTTTGGAAGTCACGGAGTTCAATCATTTCCGACATATCAGCATCAACATTTTGTAAAGATAAAACTTGCAAATACTGGTTTGAGATCTACTCAGAAGAGATTGCATCTGTCATTGAAGCAAAAAGCAAAGTTGACCTGATGCAGAACATCAACCCAATAGTGACTTGGAAGTGATCAAGGCAGCTGTGCAAAAACAGGGAGATGCTGTGCAAATAAATGTTGTATCAACCCATGTGAAAAAATCCAATTTGCCTGTCACAATGGAAATCAATATGCTGCACATGATCGATGTGTTTCAAGAGGGCACTTGTCTGACCATCAGCAAAGTTGTCCTCCTGACATTAACAGAAGTAAACAGATGGCTGACTGGGTTGAACAGAACTGTGAGCTGAACTCCCATGAGACAGGCATCTCCCAGTTTCCACTTGACACACTCCTGCAGCTTCCTGTTGTGGTTAAGTTGTTTGAGAAACCCTAAAGGTGGAAAAAGCTATTCACTGATTAGTAAGTTGAAAGACACCAGCAAAATTGCCAAGAATTATTGAAGCATGGAAAATTCCATACACTGTCACAGCTTTGTGACCTTCTCCTCCTCTCGAGAGATAGGATTCATTTTACGTCCTGGTTACTGAAGAGGCAATTGGTTATTAATATAACAAAAACTGTCTAAATAATTAGACAAGGATTGATGAAATGGAATTATGATGATCAATGTAATTGAATCATGATGATGAATACATTACAATGGTGGTTATTGATGCAAGATGATCCTGGTTTTGTAGAGTCGATTTCTTCAATAAAGAATCCAACACCTAGCCTTTTCACAAAACACCAGCTTGGGCCCCCCGTCACTTTCAGTCAAATTTCAAGAACCTTACACTGAAGACATATTTTTAATACTCTCATGGAATGTGGGACCTGCTGCCTGTCCAGCATTTATTGCCCATCCCTAGTTGCCCTTGAGAAGATGGTGGTGAGCTGCCTTCTTGAACTGCAACAGTCCATATGCTTTAGGTAGACCCACAACGTTGTCAGGCAGGGAGTTCTGGGATTTTGACCCAGTGGCAGTGAAGGAATGGCAAAATATTTTCAAGTCAGAACTGAACGTAGCTTGGAGGGGAACTTACAGTCATAGAGACAGGGCCATCAGCTGAAACTGGTCCACGCTGACCAAAATGTCAACCCACGTGAACCCCATTTCCCTGCACTTGGCCCATATCCTTCTAAACCTTTCCTATCCATGCATTCATCCAAATATCTTTTAAATGTTGTTAATGTACCCGTCTCAACCACTTCCACTGGCAGCACATTACATATGCACACCACTCTGTGTAAAAAAAGCTGCCCCTCAGGTTCCCATGTATTCTTTCCCCTCTTACCTTAAACTGATGCCCTCTAGTCCTCAATTCCCAACGCTGGGAAAAAGGCTGAGTGCATTCACCCTATCTATGCCTCATTATCTTACACATGTCTGTAAAATCCACCAACCACCACCCCCAACCCCCACAAAAATCTTCTACGCTCTGAAGAGAAAAGTCCCAGCTTGTCCAACCTCTCCCTATAACTCAACCCTTTGAGTCCTGACAACATAACATCCTTGTAAATTTCTTCTGCACTCTTTCCAGTTTAACAAAATCCTTCCCTTAGCAAGGTGACCAAAACGGAACATAAAACTCCAAGTGCAGCCTCATCAACATCCTGTACAAGTGCAACATAACTTGCCATCTTCTTTTCTCAATGCCCTGACTGATGAAGGGCAGTGTGCCAAAAGTGTTCTTCACTGCCCTGTCTACCTGTTACTCTACTTTCAGAGAACCATGCATCTGAACTCCAAGGTTCCTCTGTTCCACTACACTCCTTAAGGCCCTACCATTCACCATGAAACTCCTACCTTGATGTGACTTTACAAAATGCAACACCTCACACTTATATTTATTAAACTCCACTTAACATTTCTCAATCCACTTCCCCAGCTGATGAAGATCCTGCTGCAAGTTCTGTTAAACTTAC